TATAAAGTAAAATAATATATATATTAGATTACTATATATTATATCAAATTAATATAATATAATAAAATTACTATTATATTAAAGTTAAATATTATAGGAAATTATAAAATATATTTAAAAATATAAAATATTACATAATAAATAATTTGCCATTTTATTTTATATAACATATTATATTCGTATACTTTAAATTAAATTAATATATTATAATAAGAGTGTTAAAGTATAATAAAGTCATTTTATTATATTATATTATTCTATTATATTAAATTAAAGCATGACATATATTGATGTAATATCATATAATATAATATACAAAAAAATGGTATACTATTAAAATAATATAATAAACATAATATAATATAATAAATAATTATATTAATTAATATAATATATCTTATATTAGTCTATATTTTAATATTTAACTAATATAATCAATGATATAATGAAGCCAAATGCTATGTAAGATAAATAAAATTCATAATCATGTGAAATAAGTTTTGCAGTTATAGAGTGCATGCATTTTCATACCAAATTATTTAAGATCTTGGGATAAAGACATGTGAATTAATGTTATTTGCAATCATGCATGATGCCTTATTTCCTATGTTTGATTTATACATTACACCAATGACAACATTGTGAGGGTGTTTTTATATAAGTTCCACATTGACCAATGATTGCATAAATAAATAGTTTCTGAATGACATGTGAGGGTGTTTTTATATAAGTTCCACATTGACCAATGATTGCATAAATAAATAGTTTCTGAATGACATCATATATGCATCTTTGCCTTTAGATGCTGAATGACCTCATATCTAAACATATGTGTCTCAAAATAAAATTAAGCATTTCTTTGTATTTAGTTTTTGACGAGGTTGAAATATTTTTTAGGAAATTTGAGTATATTGCTTGAAATGGCACCGAATAAAGATTGGATGGACCTAGTAGATGATGATAGACTTGATCCAAAATATGAAGAAGGGGTTGATAACTTTTTAGACTATGCATATGAGAAGTTGTTTAATAGTTTCAATCAAAAGAATGACAACTTTGAAATTCGATGTCCATGTGTTAAATGCAGCAATGTGAAGTCTGGTAATCGTGAGTCGGTAAAGACCCACTTGATTGTTCATGGAATTATTAAAAACTACAGATTTTTGTGTCATCACGGCGAAAGACAAGGTGAGTCCATAACTGAGTTTCATGAAGAACAAGAAGAAATGACAGAAGAAAGCTAGAGTGACGATGAAATGCAAGAAATGATTGGAGATTTATTTCATAATTTAACTGGCGTTGTTGCACCTGATGCCACGTCGAGTCAGGACATTCGTGAGCAGGAACCAGATGGACATACAAAACAATTCTACAGTCTTTTAGGTGACTCCGAGAAACCTTTGTATGAAGGCTCTAAATGTTCAAAGTTATCTGCTTTAGTGAAACTACTTCACATAAAGAGCCTAAATAGGTGGAGTAATAAATCATTCTCAATGTTGCTCCAGTTTTTAAATGAGGAGCTATTGCCAGGGGAATCAACACCGTCTAATTCGTATGACAAGGCCAAAAAGTTTATCCGTGACCTTGGCCTATCATATGAAAAAATTGATTCGTGTCCATTCTCTTGCATGCTGTTTTGGAAAAGTGAAGAAGGTCTTGATACGTGTCAGAGATGTGGTGCTTCTAGGTGGAAACTTGATAAACATGGAAAATAGATCAAGCGAAAGGCAAATGGTAAAAAAATACCTCAAAAGACATTGCAATACTTTCCTCTTAAGCCACGATTGTAAAGGTTTTACATGTCTTCGAAGACAGCTTCTGATATGAGATGGCACCGTGAAAGACAAGTTGAGGACGGAGTGATAGGCATCCAGCTGACTCAGAGGCTTGGAAAAACTTTAATGAGCTACATGAAAGCTTTGCCGAAGAGCCCCGAAATGTTAGGCTCGGTCTTGCAAGTGATGGTTTCCAGCCTTTCACAAATTCAAAAGTTTCTTATAGCATATGGCATGTTTTACTTGTACCATATAACTTACCACCATGGATGTACATGAAACAATCCAATTTTATTTTATCTATGCTCATTCCTGGTCCAACTAGTCCTGGAGATGCTATTAACAGCTACTTACAACCATTGATAGAAGAACTAAAGGAGTTATGGGTCTCAGGCGTTTGAACATATGATGTATCTCTGAGACAGAATTTTATTTTACGTGCAGCACTAATTTGGACTATTAATGATTTTCCTGCTTATGCAAATTTATCTGGATGAAGCACTAAGGGGAAATTTGCATGTCCTTGTTGTAATAAGCACACTCACTCTATCAGGTTATCTAATGGAGGCAAGCAGAGCTATATGGGACATCGTCGCTATCTTGATGAAAATCACAGTTGAAGAAAGGATAAAAAATCATTTGATGACACTAGGTAGGGAGAGAGGGTATGCAGCGCCGAAGCTGATAAGAGATGACATCCTTAAGCAGGTGGAAGATCTTATAGGAATCACCTTGACCAATCATCCTGAGAAGAAAATTAAAATATCACACGAAATACGGGGAGATAATTAGAATAAGAAAAGTTTTTTTTTGATTTACCATATTAGAGAACTCTCTTATTGCGACATAATTTAGATGTCATGCATATTGAGAAGAATATTTGTGATAGTCTGCTGGGAACAATCATGAACATTAAAGGAAAGACAAAGGATAATATCAAAGCCCGTCTCGATTTACAAGCAATGGGTTTAAAACCGGAGTTACATCCAATCCAGAGAGGAGATAAACTTGTGATGCCAGCAGCTCGTTATACTTTATCCCAAGAAGAGCAAAGCAAATTCTGTCGATTTCTGAAGGAGTTAAAAGTTCCAGATGGATTTTCATCCAATATTTCTCAATGTGTAAACCTTAAAGAGCGTAAGATTTTGGGGTTAAAGAGTCATGATTGTCACATTCTTTTGCATCGCTTGATTCCTGTAACAATTCGTGGCCTTCTTCCTGCAAAAGTGTGTGAACCAATTATTAAACTTTCCATATTCTTCACTATATTATGTGCCAAGACATTAAGGGTGGATGAACTAAAACAAATTGATGAGCAGATTCCACTTACGTTATGTAAGCTTGAGAAGATATTTCCACCTTTAATTTTTGATGTTATGCTGCATTTACTAGTTCATTTAGCATCTGAAGCCATACTTGGAGGGCCTGTTCGATTTCGATGGATGTACCCAGTGGAGCGTCAGCTTTATACTTATAAGTCATATATCAGAAATAGGACACGTCCAAAAGGGTCAATTGTTGAAGGATATATAGCAGATGAATGTATGATACTTTGCTCAAGGTATCTAAAAGGCTTCGAGATAAAGTTTAATCGCCTTGAAAGAAATTATAAAGATAACAATAGAGAATGTCATGAAGCACAACTATCTATTTTCAGACATAGTGGGCGGGCATTGGGTGCTGCCACCACCCACTACCTTGATGAACGTGAGTGGTTACAAGCTTATATTTATGTTCTAAAAAACTGTGATGAAATGCAACCACACATTGAGTAAGTCACTAAAGTTTAAGATTCTATTAATAAATTTACTATAGTTAATCAATGTTAATCATATTTATGATATTTTAATGTAGGGACTACAATGAATTCGTGAGAGAACCCACAAATCACTATGATGATAAAGATTGGGATAAGAACTTTATCGAGTGGTTCCAATCTCTAGTATGTACATATCTTGCCTTATTTTTTAATATCTTGATTGGTTCATTTTATTACATGTTCCATGACTTGATCATATTTTGGTTTTGTTTAGGTTTATCAGAGTTATCGAGAAGATGATGACTTACTTTCATTATCTCGTGGTCCAAGTAAGATTGTTAAATGTTTTACTGGATTTATCATAAATGGACATCGATTTCATACAGAAAGTCGAGATAATTGTTTGTCAACTCAAAATAACGGGGTTGCAGTTGTTGGTGATGCTGGTGATGGTGGAGATATAGATTATTATGGTGTTTTGGTTGAAGTTGTCGAATTAGAGTATCTTGGTGGAAGAAAGATTGTTTTATTTCGTTGTAAGTGGTGGGATGTGCACAACAAAGGAAAAGAGACCACTTTGAAAGAAGATAAATATGGATTTGTCAGTATTAACTGTCGACATTTGCTAAGGACGAATGACCACTTTATACTTGCTGGCCAAGCATCACAAGTTTTTTATGTTGAGGATATTGCCAATGAAGGTTGGCATGTAGTTCTTAAAGCACAACCCCGTGATTCCTTTGATATGCCACCAGATACAGATGATTGTGAGATAACAAACGATGGAGTTGAAGTTTATTTGCAAGATGAATCATTTGATGCTCAGGCTATTGCATCAACATCATTGGAAGATGATTATATCAATTTGAGAAGGAATGATATTGATCCAATTATTGTAAATTCGGTCTCAACTTCAAAAAAGAGGAAAAATACTCAAGCAGAGAATTAGAACGCTTTAATTAAAGAATAGAACACAAATGATATTGTGTTATTGAGATAAATTTTAAGTTGTATCTTACTATAACTATTACTTTTTTAGACATATGATGTTCTTTTCTTCATATTTTGGATGTGGCTTTGACATTGCAGCAAGTGCTTCTACATTAGTGTATTATGTATTTATTATTATTCTTGTCCTTGGGGATTTCTTTTTCTTTTATTCATTTCTCTTTTGACATTTGTTTTATACATAGTGTATGATACTTAAATTCCTATTCATAGCAGAAAAATGAAAACTCAAGAAGTCACTTCCAAAAGCAAAAGGGCACAATTTCTAGCACTCAGGTCATTAATTAGGAAGCGACTTCAAGCACGTGCAGAAAATTCATTAAGAATGGAACAACTCCGTACTTGTCATGACAAGAACTTGAATATTCAGAATCCAATACAAGATCAAAATATGGGTACAAATTTTAGCGCTGATTCAGAAAACTTTGAAAAGGAGAATTTTGCACAAAATCGCAGGAGAAGTGCAAATACTAACAATGAAGAGAATGATGATTCTGCAGGTTGATTAGACTTAAAATTTATTATTATTTCTTTTTTATCTTTCAATTTATTTTTTATGATTAGATTAATAATTACTCAATTTTTGTAGAATCAAATAATCATCGAGTGCAAAGTGATGATGTAATACTAAATGAATCTCGACAAGAAGGTATAATCTTTATTAATTACAAGAAGTAATATTTTTATCAATTTCTTTTTACCTATATCTTGTTTCTAACATATGATATGATGTATGCAGCTGATAATTCTCAAAAGAAGAAAAATCCACCTCGTGGTAATAATAAGTGTCTAAAGTTGAATAATTTGTCACATGGGGAGAAAATGATCATTATTTTTTATCAGAATAGAGCTATTGAGCCAGAATTTTCACGATATCTAGGAATTATTATTCGTGATAGAAATATTTGCCCAGTAGCTGTTGAGAATTGGGCCAAAATACCATAATAAAATAAAGATCATATGTGGGCATCCATTAATGTACATTGAAAATTAATTTTTTGCAATTGGCACTACAAGAAATCTGCTATTTAACGACCAAAATTAGTGAAGGGACCAGCTGCCCGTCATTAATGTGCATATAATAACGACGGGTTTTAAACCCTTCGTCGAGTGATTACAAATAATAGAGAAATATTGTGATATGGGATAACGGTTTTCTAATCCCTTCGTTGATTTGATCCTACTACCGTCGTTATTAGGTCTCCTTAAAATGAAGGGGGGCATTACCTTCATTGATGGGACTCCTAATCATAATTGGACTGAAATTAACCTATTTCTATTAACAAATCCCATAACCAAACCCGAAGCCCCAACTAAAACCCGAAACCAAATTTTACAAACCCACAAATCCTAATCATCCTCTAACCGCAAAAATAACGATTTAAACCCTAGTTAAAAAAATCCACCTCCTTATCATCGTCGCCTCCATATCTCGTCGTCCGCTCTCGCGCTCCTCATCGTCTCTTGTTTTTGCCAACTCCCCCCCCCCTCCCTGGAGACCGTGGAGCGAGACTCTCGAGCATCCATCAATGGCGGTGATATTTTCGTAGTGAAATGGGGGGCCGAGGCATGTTCGTTGATGGCGTCCGTCGCTTGTTCAAGCACCAAAATCAAAGCGTCTCTACCCATTTCATCGATCCCAATCAACAACATGAAGAGGGAAAAGAAACAGAAGTTGAAGGAAGTGAGATTGAAGTTGTCATTGATTACGATCTTACTGGTCTCAAAGTAGTCAGTGTTCCCAAGTGGAGGGCGATGGTCGATAAAAAGGTTCGGTTTTGACTCTTAGATCTCTTTCAACTCTTGAGAATGGGCGCGATTTTGATACGAGATTATTTCATCCGTAAAAAGTTGAATTTTTGTTACACTTGTTAATACCCAGTTGTTTGATTCTTGCTAACTTTCATTGTAGCATTCAATGTTAGCAACAAGTTAGGATTTTTAACCGTATCTGCATTTTCTTTAAGATAGGTAGCTAGTTTTTTAAGCTATGAACATATGCAGAGCACAAATGAAGCATACTTCTTCACCGAATACGGGAAAGCGAGCTGATACCAGATTCATGAGGTGGTCGGCAAGGGAAGTTATGGGGTCGTCGGCTCGGCCGTGGATACCCACAATGGAGAGAAGGTGGTAATCAAGAAGATAAACGATGTCTTCGAGCATGTTTCGGATGCTACTCGCATCCTACGAGAGATCAAGGTGCTTAGGCTGCTCCGCCACCCTGACATTGTAGAAATTAGGCACATAATGCTTCCTCCCTCGCGGAGAGAATTTAAAGATATTTATTTTGTTTTCGAGTTGATGGAATATGACCTTCATCAAGTTATTAAGGCAAATGACGATCTCACGCCTGAACACCATCAGTTTTTCCTGTACCAGCTTCTGCGAGCTATGAAGTATATCCACACTGGTGAATGCCTTTTTTTTGGCTGGCTTGATTGGGCATTGACAACTATTTTTCTCTAACAATTTCAATGGTTGTTTGTTGTGTGTTGTTGGTTATCAGCCAATGTTTTTCATCGGGATTTGAAGCCAAAAAATATTCTTGCAAATACGGATTGTAAACTGAATGTTTGTGACTTTGGTCTTGCTCGTGTTTCATTTGATGATGCTCCCTCGGTTATATTCTGGACGGTATGAAATTTCTCCTCTTGCAATACTAGTTTTATCTTTGATTTAAAAGTGAAAAACTGGTGCCTTGACGCCTATGATTTTATTTGATTTCTGAGTAGTTGTTTCATGGCTTCATAGCCGAACTTGTTCTTTTATCCTTTCATTACAACGCTTTACCAAGATGCATGATATGTCTCCTTGATAAAGAAAGAAGAAAAAGAAGCAGATGATATGCTAATGCTGAATCTTTATCGTTGACTTATATTCTCTTTGTTTCATTTTCACATCATAGGATTATGTGGCAACACGATGGTACCGTGCTCCTGAACTATGTGGCTCTTTTTTCTCCAAGGTAGTATCGCGTATAATTTATGCTTTTTTGCCCAATTTAAGAACATAACCCTGCTCTTCTCATTTGTTATTATGGCTTCATCAGATATTATCTTTTCCATTTAATTCTTTTGTTGTCATGAAAATGTTTTTCTGGGTATATGCATTTGCATTAATTCTTGCCTATTCCACTTTCAAGTAATATTCTTAAGTACAGAGTTGTGCTAATGGTGAATAAACTGGACTGGTGATTGGCACTCATTTTAGATATACTCATGTACATGTCCCGTGTTATAATCGATTATGTTTTGTGATGTACGCATGCATGTCTAATTTTTAACTATACTTCTTGGATGACGCCAATCTGTTTCTCTTCTACTCATCATCTTACGGTACACCCCTGCGATTGATATTTGGAGTATAGGATGCATCAGTTGAATCTCATGACCGACCTACTTGGCACTCCACCTCCTGAAACAATTTCAAGGGTTGGTTTTTCTCCATACTTTCTGTTTATATTAGCATTACATTATTGTTGCAGTTTCCTGTTATATGTTTGTTCATCATTTCATACTGTTTTATAACCAAAGCACAAGTTCTGATTTTTACCTTGCACATGTGTACAAGTTTCTCTCTTTGGTTGGCAGGAAAGCTAGCTGGAATGGAAAAATTATTCACCAATGAATATCAATACTTAATATATGCACTTAAGTACATCATTGCTCATGAAGAGCTCCACATAAATAATAGAATTATGTGTGCTTCAATATATGTATGTAATGCATGCTATGCAACTGTAGTCAGCCTGAATTTCTAAGTTCCTTTGTTGTTCTGGAGGCACAGATCCGTACTAGGAGGAAACAAGCTATCTGATAGCAATAATAAAAATAATATCGAAAATCATATTAACTAGAGAACAAGTGATTCAAAAAGCTAAAACCTCAAAACTAGGCTTTTCATCTTCTGTGTTCTGGTTATGGTTGTGGGGCCTTTACTACTACAGGAGTTATTCAGAGAATTCTTGAAAATAAATTTGTATATTATGCACCATAGAAGAATTTAATGTGATCCTTAGAACTAGACAACTTAAAAACATATCCTTCTTATATCAATCCAACTTTTTTTACCATGTTTATGTATGTGTTTTGATTATAGCTCTTGATTCCTACAGATCCGAAATGAAAAGGCTAAAAGATATTTAAATGGAATGCGCAAAAAACCTCTGATTCCTTTCTCACAGAAGTTCCCTGATGCAGATCCTTTGGCTTTACATCTACTTGAACGCCTTCTTGCATTTGATCCTAAGAATCGTCCATCTGCAGAAGAGGTAATTAAGAATACAAATCGAAAAAGATAATATTTGCTTAATTGATATTTCTTAATTATGTGAATTTTACTTAATAAGATAATATTTGCTTAATTGATATTTCTTAATTATGTGATTTTTTTAAAAAATTTCAGGCTATCCATGCAAGATTAGGAGAGGTGGTGTAGCTCGAGTCTTCTTTTGACGATGATTAGGGATGAAATAATGTGTCTTCCCCGAACTTTTATTTTAATTTGTTATAGATAGTTTCATGTATTTTTCTTTAGAACAATTAGGATATTAATTCTTATTATTAGTATTGAATATTTGATGATGGTGGAATTTTATTTATTGATGTTATTAATGAATGGAATTTTTATTTTCCCTTTTATTCATTATTGGGTATTTTTAATATATTTGTGTTGTGAATCTTAGTGTCAGGTTGAGAATAATATGATAGTTGCCTATGAATGGAAAAATTATTATTAATGTATATTAGAAATTTGTAGTCTACAATGATGGTTTTATAAACCGTATTTTGTTCATCAACGGGGAAAGCACCGTCGTTAATGGGATACTAATTACCCATTATGAGGACTTTTACGATGGGAAAATATCCCCATAACTAATGATAACGACGAGAAAATATCCCCGTAACTAATGGTAACAACGGGAAAATATCTCGTCACTGATGGTAACGACGGGAAAATATCCTCGTCACTGATAGTAAAAAAGGTGATAATTACCGTCGTAAATATTAACGATGGTAATATGTTCCGTCGTTATAGACTCTATAACGACGGGTAGTATATCCCTTCGTGACCCTTTAGTGAAGAGGGCTTCAACGACGGATGACGAAGGGATTTTTTTTCTCGTCGTTAGCATACAATAACGAAGGTTTTCAGCTCTTTAACGAAGGGAAATCCCTTCGTTAAAGATGTAATTTCTTGTAGTGTGGTTTTTAATTCTTATAAATTAAATTTTGATTCAAATTTGATATAGGATAAATTTGATGCCGAGAACATGGAGCAAAAGAGAGAATCAGTAATGAGACACTTGCGTGATTTGTGGTATAAGTGGCGGGGTGACATGCACAGGAAATATATGAAAGAAAATTCATTACAAGTTGCACTTAGAAATAAACCTACAGAAGTGAGTGTTGATGACTGGGATTGGCTAGTTAAGGAACATTATTTTTTTTTCAAAATTTCAGGTATTAATCTCCTAATTTTATTAATTTTGCTTCATGTATATTATTGGATTGTTGAAATTATCTTTTAATCTTGATGTATAGAAATTAGCAAGCTAACAAAATACACTTAACGAGGCAAAAGAAAGATGTTCTACCACACGGGCAGCAAACCCTTTAGACAAATTGCATGGGAATTGGTATACATTCAAAACTAATTTCCTATTTATTTAAAACTACTTTGTTTTTTAGTTTGATGTTGTACTCATTTTTATTTAACATTTGAATAAGGGTGACAAGTCAGGAAATCCACCTGATGTGGCACATATGTTTCATGAAACTTGAAAGAAAGCTAATGAAATACTAGATATTAGGGATCAAGATAAATATGTAAGTAGAATATGTGTTTAAGTTTGATAATGATGCATTATATAGTACTAACATATGAATTTATTTTTTATAGGATGAAATTGTTCAAGTCAAACAAGCAAACCCTTCACTTTCTGACATTGAGATAGTTGAGAAAATCTGGGGAAAGCAATCTCATGGTCACATCACTGTATTTAGTGGCGGGGCTACTTTGAAAGATTTGAGAGGACCGCTCCCTAGTCGATCTGATCTGGAAGCACGAGTTATAGAAGAAAAAAGAAAGAACCAGATACTTCAACAACTGTCTGAGTTGGAGTCACAAGTGAAAGCTTGCAAGAACTTTTTTTGAGGCAATCACCTTCATTGACTCCTCAAACTCGAGAACGTATGCAGGACTAGGTAATTATTTTTTGTAAAATCTCTTATATACTTTTATGATTGACTACTTGTACTAAAAAATGTGATTTTTACTTAATAAGATAATATTTGCTTAATTGATATTTCTTAATTATGTGATTTTTAAAAAAATTTCAGGCTATCCATGCAAGATTAGGAGGGGGTAGCTCGAGTCTTCTTTTGATGATGATTAGATATGAAAGAATGTGTCTTCCCCAAACTTTTATTTTAATTTGTTTTAGATAGTTTCATGTATTTTTCTTTGGAACAATTAGGATATTAACTCTTGTTATTAGTATTAAATATTTGAGGATGATGGAATTTTATTTATTGATGTTATTAATAAATGGAATTTTTATTTTCCCTCTTATTCATTATTGAGTATTTTTAATATATTTTTGTTGTAAATCTTAGTGTCAGGTTGAGAATAATATGATAGTTATCTATGAATGGAAAAATTATTATTAATGTATATTAGAAATTTATAGTCTATAATGACAATTTTATAAACCGTATTTTATTCATCAACGAAGGAAAAGCATCGTCGTTGATGAGTGACTAATTACCTATTATGAGGACTTTTACGACGGTATCCAACCGTCATTAATTAGTCTTCAACGATGAGAAAATATCCCCGTAACTAATGGTAACGATGGGAAAATATCCCCGTAACTAATGATAATGACGGGAAAAATATCTCGTCACTGATGGTAACTGTTGGCCTTCTTGTTTTGATGATGTTTAACAAACAATTTACTTCTAATGTTGTTTGTCTAGTGTTTGTGTTTTCGCATTTATTCTCAAGCTTGGGTAATTTAGTTTAGGAGTTTATATTATGTGTGTTATATACTCTAAGCTCAATTATCTATACACACACATTTATTATTGGTTTCTTCGTATATATATATATATATAGTCATATATATATGTATAAGTTTTGGTTTCTATGCATATATATAGTTATATATATACATACATATGTTTTGAGTTTTTATGGTTATATATATGAAATTCTATATTTCATATTTTCTATTATGTTTTTGAAAACATTGCATAGAATATGCAATTTTGTGAAAATATTGTATTCTTAGTTTATAGACTTCAATATCAGTTTATACATGTTTTACTAAGTCTACAAAAACATTTCACAAAGTTTCAAAAGTTGGTTTATGTCAAAACATCAAAATTCAAGTATCTCATATTTTCATGTTTTGGACTAGTTTGTAAAATGATGATATTTTTCATTTGGGAAGTCCTTTTTGATAACCAGTCATTGTAGCATGTTTATTATCATGTCTACAATCATTCCCCAAAGTTTTACATTTTTTGGAATTTATTTACTATTTTTAAACAGTGTTTTAAAATCAGCTTTGTTTTTCTGGGATGTCAGTTTTCGGTCGACCGGTACGGTCGACCGGTCAATTGACCATTCGTCAGTATTTTTCAGAGAGTCATCGGTCGACCGGTCCGGTCGACCGAGAGCTCAAATCGGTCGACCGACAGAATTTCCGGTCGACCGACGATGGTCCAGAAAGTTTTCTTCGTGTTTTTGCTCTCATCGGTCGACCGACGGGATTTTCGGTCGACCGACAATATAGCCGTTGGCTACTAATGGCTATTTCTGAGCTGTTTCTCTGGGGGCTGTTTTGTCATTTGTTTTGGGGGTTTTTGCTGAGATTTCTAGTGGGTATATATACCCCATTGCTGATGTCTTTTCAGATTGATTAAAAGAGTTTTAAAAACAAGTTTAAGAAAGTTTTTAAACAAGGGTTTGAGTTTGTTTAGTTTGTTTTTGAGGTTTGCTGTTACAAAGAGGAGTTTGCATCACCAGTTGAGGATTTCATCCTCAAAATCTTCTCATCCTCTCTTTGTGTTTATAGAGAAGTTTTCTAACTCTTTTCCCTAGCAATTTCATTATTGATTTATCATATATTAATTATTGCTAGTTTGCTATTTGAGTTAGATTTCATTTTACTCATTGTTACACACACCCACATTGAGCTTTTAGTATTTACATACATAGTATAGTTGGGTGGTGAGAGTTTGTAACTTTGAGTTGTGCTTAATTGTGTTCTCATCCATAGTTGAGAACAATCATTTGTTATATTGTGCTTATTGTGAGATTCACTTTGTAATACACTTGTACACCGAGTGAGGAGTGTGTGGTGAGAGTCGGGGATCGTCCCAAGAGGAGTGGCGTCGGTTGACGTGCCTAGGGAGAGGTTGTAACCGAGCACTTGAGGGAGACACGGCTAGGTCCAACACTTAGTGGGTGTAGAGTGGGATTACAATAGTGTGTTGATTGTAAAGTTTTCGGTTAGCTAGAAAACCGAGTGTGAGGTGTAAACGTTGTTCGGGTGAACGTAGAAAACCCGGTTGATAGTGGATTTCTCCCCGGGAGTGGGGAGCGGAGACGTAGGACGGAAGGTCCGAACTCCGTGATCATCTTTGTGTGTTTGTGATTGTCTTGGCGTCTCACTTGTGCTTATTGTTCATATCATTCTTGTCGCCATTATCTATTGTTCACTTTGTCCACTATCTTGTTTATCTTGTTTATGTTTATATCACCCTTAGTTTATATATCCTTGCATATATATTTCATCATATAGGATATATCACTTTGTGTATATTGCATATTCTTGCCCATAATAGATTGTATACCTATCTTGCAAGAATATAGTTGTTAATTATTTTTAATTGGCATTTAATCGGATTAGATTAGCATAAGACCCTAATCACCCCCCCTCTAGGGTCTGACAGTAACGACGGGAAAATATCCCCGTGACTGATAGTAATGACGGTGATAATTACCGTCGTAAATATTAATGACGGTAATATATTCCATCGTTATAGACTCTATAACGACGGGTAGTATATCCCTTCGTGACCCTTTAGCGAAGAGGGCTTCAACGACGGGTGACGAAGGGATTTTTCCCTATCGTTTGCATACAATAACGAGGGTTTTCAGCTCTTTAACGAAGGAAAATCTCTTCGTTAAAGATGTAATTTCTTGTAGTGTTGGGGTCGATTTTTTTAGGGAGGGGAGAGTGAGGTGGAGGTAATTGCTAATGCATTTTAGGAAAAATGCGATTGTGCGAAGCTCGGGCGATCCAAGAAAAGATGATGACTTTCAGTCAAATTTCGATGTGCAACTTTAACGGACCATAATTTTTGATTCCCTCCATAAATTCGCTATTATTATATATTTTCGGAAAGCTCGAGAAGTGCTTTACAAGTGGAACTATTTTGTCGTTTTCCAATTGAGTTACGGGGTCAAAGGAAATCGTCTTTAAGCTCAAACTGCGTGTCGAAGATTTTTGGTCAAATATAGTTTCTAGTTCTTATGAAATGTTTTTTATTTCTAAGAAGTCTATTTGCTTTAGGAAATGTTATTTTAGTACTTTTGTATTGTTTTATACAGCATATAAGGGAGACAAATTTGTAAACTTTTTACATTGGTTATCATTATTCAGAAAGTTTTCTATTCCTAGGGATTTGTGATGTTTTGTTCATACAAAAACGAGTAGTTATTTTTTTTTTTATCACGCTTCGGCTACATAAGTTGGTATTCACTTTCACATGTTTGGCAAATGGTTCATTTTAACTTATAAGCCATCAAATTTGACCGAGTAACAATCCTATATACCTATAACATCTTACAAAAATTTAAAACCTCATTTATGCTTCTCCAAGTCTGTTAAATAAAATTTGATTTATAAGAAGTGAATTATAATTCAAAGTTGTCGAACACATTCATGATACTTTCATATTTATTGTTGTTTCTAAACAAATATTATTTTATTTCATAAAAAATAAAGAAAAGGCTTCAATCAAAGTTGAGGGTTGGAGACTCAAATGGCAGGAAAATTTGACAGGGCAGGCTCCCGTCCCAAAACTAAAAATTTTTTTTGAGAAAAAGTGGTGTGAAGTCTTGTCACACCAAAAAACGGCTCCTTGTTCCCAAAATATATTCATGACATCAATAACTTCACTTTGAACAAGATGTCGCCATTCATCACTTATTTTTAAGTAACGCCATAAAGGTCCACGTTATTTTTAAGTAACGCCATTCATCACTTATTTTTAAGTAACGCCATAAAGGTACACCTTTTTTAGAGGCGTTTTTGCAAGAAAGCCTGTCAAAACTGACAGTTTTTGTCAGATTTGGCAGGCTTTCCTAGAGGCGTTTTTGCAAGAAAGCCTGTCAAAACTGACAGTTTTTGTCAGATTTGGCAGGCTTTCCCCTTCCCATTTTTGCAAACAAACAAAACTGACAGTTTTTGTCAGATTTGGCAGGCTTTCCCCTTCCCATTTTTGCAAACAAACAGCCCCTAATTCTTGAGTAAGCCAAGGATCTAGAACAAATAAAGAGTTGCATGAGCAGGTAAACTTTCTCTCTCCGAGTGCCCGTCTTTTGTTGGCAACTGACAACTTCAGGCGACTGAACCGAGGGTCATATTAATACTTGTCCACAAAAATATTTCTCTAAAATTAACACTTAAATGCCTTATAATAGTTTCCTAGATTGTATTTAGGGGTGCTAATCCGTATTCGTATCCGATGAAATATCCGTAACCGTATCCGTTAGGATACGAATATGGTTACTCAAATCTATAACCAATAGAATATGGTTACGGATATGGTTTTGTAGTGAAATATCCGTATCTGTATTCGAAATATCCGAATACATATTAGTTATACTCTTACGATAGTTTCGATTATTAGGTTATGGATTTGTGGTTAATTTTGATGATCAAGATGTCTAATGTTAACATTTCAGTTATAATGGACATATTAACGAACTCTTTTGTATCACATGAACTATGTTTTTCTCAATACTATCTAGTTTTCTCATATCTATTTTGTATCTGCATGCATATCCGCTTATATATCCACATGTATATCCGTAACCGTATCCAATTTTAGCGGATATGGTTATAAAATTTTCTTACCGATGTATATCCGTATCTGTATCTGTATCCGAGATGGGTAAGCGGATATGGATATGATAAGCATCATATCCGAGCCGTATCCGGACCGAATGCACCCCTACTTGTACCATTCTACCCTCACTTTTTTTTGTCCGCAATTACATATCTTGAAGTTTTTTAAAGTTATACTTTAATATCTTAAGTCATACAAACACGAGAATGTTGCTACGAATTCTTTAAAGTGACACTCGCCAGCTAATTTAAGAAATTTTTTCTTGCTTAATGTTAGTTAAATTTACTGTAAAGTATATCATGATTCTATATTTTAAACATATCTCAATTACATTTTTCAAATTAAATTATAATAATTTTTTATAGTAAATTTGATGAATATTTAAAGCTAAAAAGTGCTAACATTAGCTTGGGAGTGTCATAAAGTAAAAATTCATAGCAAAATTCTCACGTTTGTATATGATATTAAAGTGCAAATTTTAAAAAACTTCATAATATATAAGCACTGCCAAAAAAGTGAGAGTACATTAGGCCTGTCCATCCGGGCCGGCCCGGCCCGGCCCGGCCCGGAAATTCGGGCCCGGGCCGGGCAAAACTGGAGCCCGGACCCGGACCCGGGTACCCCGGGCCGGGTCCGGGCCCGGGCCCGGGCCCGACCGGGCCGGGTTCCGGCAGAGAGTATACTTATATATACATATATACTAAGAGAGAGTATATATATACATACATGCATACATTATACATATATAAGAGAGAGTATTCTTATATATACTTATATAAGAGAAAGTATACTTATATATACTTATACATATATATACTTATATAAGAGAGAGTATACTTATATATACTTATATACTAAGAGAGAGTATATATATACATACACATATGACATATTATACATATATAGAAATATATTATATAAGAGAGAGTATACATATATAAGAGAGAGTATACTTATATATACATATATACTAAGAGAGAGTATATATATACATACATGCATACATTATACATATATAAGAGAGAGTATTCTTATATATACTTATATAAGAGAAAGTATACTTATATATACTTATACATATATATACTTATATAAGAGAGAGTATACTTATATATACTTATATACTAAGAGAGAGTATATATATACATACACATATGACATATTATACATATATAGAAATATATTATATAAGAGAGAGTATACATATATAAGAGAGAGTATACTTATATATACATATATACTAAGAGAGAGTATATATATACATACATGCATACATTATACATATATAAGAGAGAGTATTCTTATATATATTTATATAAGAGAAAGTATACTTATATATACTTATACATATATATACTTATATAAGAGAGAGTATACTTATATATACTTATATACTAAGAGAGAGTATATATATACATACACATATGACATATTATACATATATAGAAATATATTATATAAGAGAGAGTATACATATATAAGAGAGAGTATACTTATATATACATATATACTAAGAGAGAGTATATATATACATACATGCATACATTATACATATATAAGAGAGAGTATTCTTATATATACTTATATAAGAGAAAGTATACTTATATATACTTATACATATATATACTTACATAAGAGAGAGTATACTTATATATACTTATATACTAAGAGAGAGTATATATATACACACATATGACATATTATACATATATAGAAATATGTTATATATATACATATATTATATATATACATATATTATACATATATAAAAACATATTATATATACATATATTATAAATATTATATATATTTATATATACATATATAATATAATACATAAAAATAAAAAAAATAAAAAAAACTACTATTCCGGGCCGGGCCGGACCCGGGCCGGGCAAAAAAGAGCCGGCCCGGGCCGGGCTCCGGGCCGCGCGGGCTGTTTTAGACAGCCCTAAGTACATAGGATATATGTTTGGCTAATATTTATTGCATGAAATTTATAAGTTACTTATTGCTTATTTTTATTGATATTATTAGCAGATAAATTAGCTTTTTGCCAGTAATAAGTAAATCTTCTTATAAGTACCAAAAAATAAGTTGAGATATCCAATTTAATTTTTTCTTACAAGCTAAAAATAAGCAAATAATTAAACTTTACCTAGCATAATCTTGAACTCATATAAGTAAAAATACACTCATAATTTAAAATGATAAGTACGTTGCCAAACATGCTCATAAGTGTAATGTACGGGAAACTATAAGGTTTAAGTGCTAATAGCCCTTAAATACTCTAAAGTTTGATCAATTTTGTTAGTTTGATACCTCCAAAATTTTTTCCCCAACAATATCCTAAGAAACCAACTTGGATGATTTGAAGTTAATCTTTTTAACTTAGGGCTTGTTTGGATTGAGGGGAATAAGGGTGAAGGGAAGTTAGGGGAACCATTTACCTCCATTCATCTTGTTTGGGAACATTTAGGAGGTGAAGTTATTCACCCTAGTTCCCCTTTGTTCACCCCCTAATAGTATAAAATTTGTTACCCCTCAAATTGGGGTGTAACCAAGCGGAAGAGAACTCCCTTCACTTCCCTTCCATTCTCTCACATAGTTTTCCTTAACTTCCCTTCACCCCCTACAAATCCAAACAGGCTCTTAGGGTTTTTTAATTAATGGAAATGACTTCAAGATGTCAAAGTGGCAAAAAGGGTAAAGTCTGGAGAGTATTTACACCAAGGCTGCAGAACCTCTCTCGCTATTAGGAATGGCGATGTTGCGTTAGGCCCCGCTAATTCCAGAGATTAGTACATGTTTAATTATAGAAATCCCTACTTTACTTTGTTTTCAAAATACTCCCAAAAAGGATGAACCACAAGTTTTACTAGTAAAAATATCCTCTCGTTTAATTTTACTCACTAATGTTTTGTTTTCTGGGGGTTGTGGGTTTTTCTGATAAAATTGTTAAAATTTAAGGGGATTTTCTAATAAATATTAAAAATATAAGGGGTTTTCTGATAATTATAGAAAGTTAACCTCCTTGATTTTACTCACTAATGTTTTGTTTTCTGGGGGTTGTGGGTTTTTCTGATAAAATTGTTAAAATTTAAGGGGATTTTCTAATAAATATTAAAAATATAAGGGGTTTTCTGATAATTATAGAAAGTTAACCCTTTTTGTAATAGGCTCTCGGTTGATTGCAGATCAACCTCCTTACTCTCTCTAAATTGGATTTACTATCTTTGTAGTTCTATTGTTGTAGGTAAACCATTGGAAGAGTTATATTGTTGTTAATAAGCCTTATGAGTGGAAATTTATTGTTGTGGATAGATCCTCTGGACAAAAGGTTAAAAATTTCACTCAGGATTTATACAAACAATAGAATTATTGGGATGGTAAGTTCAATTTAGTCATATCACAACATCGGTAGTCTATGGGCAATTGAGCAATTCTAATCACAGCCCGCGAGTGCACGACACTCGCGCTGTGCTTAGGACATGTGCCCTCTACAAGAACGTGAAGGGATACATGTCCCTGCTACAGCTCTAGTGCTGTGCACTCCCAACTGTAGCTAACACTCCTCGGGTGCAATTAGCTCCGACTCGTTGAATATGTCATTCTTTTGGTAAATTTTTACTAAAAACCTCCTAAAAATTGGGGTGATTTGCATAAAACGTTCCTAAACTATAAAAATTAAAGAAAACCCCCCCAAATTTAGGGAGTTTCAAAGAATTAAGATATTCATTTTGGAGAAAGGTTGCATAAAGTCTTGTCACGCCAAAAATGGGTTCTTATACCCAAACAATAAATGATTATCCCAGCTTCATATTGAACCATGTAACGCCACCAACATACACCTAAACTTTGGTAAAGATAAGTCCACAAGAAAAAAACAAGTGAGCAGGTAAGCTTCCCTCCAATTGCCCTTCTTTGGTTGGTAACTGACGATTGAGGCGACTGAACCGAGGCGTCACATAAATACTAGTCTTTCGAAGTAAAAATCAAGTGTTTATGCATATATACCCTTGAAATCAATTCTATTTACAAATTTGGCACTCAAGATTGATCGTTTTGTAAATTTATACCAACGTCCTTTTGAGATTATTCTTTTAGATTTTTCCAAAGCTATCCTCCCATTAATTTCAAAATACATGTTCAGTGTATTAGGTTTTTAAAATTACGGCTAGAGTAATTAAACTTTTTGCTTTTTAAATATAAACTTAATAGACGAGAGTAGAGGATATTTTTGAAACTTTACGACTGGAGGGCTATTTTTATCCAATACAGATGAATGTGTGCGTAAATTTGCAAATACGATAGGTTACAGGGTTTTATGCAAAACCCCACTAAAAATTAATTGTAATTATTACCTTCCAATAAGAAAATGCTTAATTCTGTGAACACCCCTTTCCTCTGCCCCCTATATAAAGATCCCCTCAGCTCAAAGTGGGAGGCATCAAAAACAAGTTCCAATCTTGAATTTTTGTTGTTGAGATCAAAAATGAGTTTGTTTGGTCACCACCACCACCACCACAACCAAGATGCTCCTGCTGCTGTTCCTCCTCAGCATCACCCAGTGAGGATTTACACCAAGGCCGCTGAGAACTACTCCCTCACCATCAGGAACGGGGAGGTCGTGTTGGCCCCTGCTAATCCTAGAGATGAGTACCAGGTATATTTAATTTAATTTTGTAAATATTACTTTGAATAATCAGAGGGTAAGTTATTTTATCGGTTCTTCTTCTTCTTCTTCTTCTTTTTCTGGGTGGCAAAGTGCATTTGGGGTTGAATGTGAAAAAACCCCCCATATGTTTCGTATGAAGATCCGCATTTCCGTCATTCGAATTCTTGCTTTTCTTTTTTTAGTTTACCTTCAAACTGGAGACGATAGTGAATTATCTGGGTGGCGGTGTATTTAAATTATGAGATGAGGTGTTCCTCAGAAGTCGCTTTGGAATTTTTTTTTTTCAATTTTTTTTTTTGTTGTTGTATATATGTTTCTGATCACATTAGAAATCTTGGGTAAATTTCACAAAACCACTCACATCTTTTGGGATCTTGGGGTATTCACCCTCGTTCCCCTACATTCACGCTCATCGATACAAACTTTGTTCATCCCCAAATTTGGGTGGAACTGGACGGAAGGGAGCTCCTTTTAACTCTTTCGTCTTCTCTCTCCCCTATCTCCCCTTTTTACCTCCCCCTGCCACGATCATCCCTATTTAAATTTTAAAAATACCGCAAAACCCGCTTAAGTTTTGGGGTTGTCAGAAGACCCCCTTCAAGTTACAACTTTTTTCCAAAAGAAGCCCCTAAAGGCATGAACCGTATAACTTTCTGCGTAATTTTATCCACCTACGTGAAAGCTGTGGTAGCACGATTAGGCCCTTTTATTTTCCGGTTTGGAAATACGTTGAAAGGTGGATGAGGTTTTCTGAGAACCCCCACGCTTGATGGGGGATTTAGAGATTTTGAAAGGTAAGGGGGTTATCTGAGAAATGCCCGAACGTAAGGGGGGTTCTGACATTTACCCATGGGATTTCTCCAAATAAAGTCTTGTCATGCCAAAAATGGGTTCTTATTCCCTTAATCAGTAATGACATTGTTAACTTCAACAAGAGGCAAGCGGACACTGAGCTTTGACAAGGAATAATTCTTGAGTAAAAGCCAATAATAAATATAAAATCTGTACCAAAAAAAAAAAAAAAAAAAAGAGAACTT